GAACTTATGTGTTCTCCGAAGAAGAGGGAAGATTGGGCAATCATGAAGATGGATATTGTAAATTGATGACTAATAGATGCTAGATTTTGGCATCCGTCAAATGATAACTAATAGATAATACCAAAATTCAGGCAACAATGGCCAATTAGTTTTGTTATTGTCCTGATATAAAGGGAGTGGGCAGGTCATTAGTATGATGGACATTAAAAATTGGTAAAAAGTAGACGTTGAGTGATAGTCAATGAAGAACATAAAAGACAAATGACGGTGGACAATCACCTTATTTGTTCTCTCAATAAAAGTGGGCATCACTAGATTGATTGGACAAGTGTCGAACATTAGTGATTGATAATTTTTGATCATTTATAAGCATTGGATGATATGGACGATGAAAGTCGAGTGATGATAGACAAAAAGTTTGATCATTTTTTTTTATAGAAGGGGAGTATAGACAATCGATAAGACAAGCACTGAACCATAGTAGTTAATATACGTCTAAAGTCAGCCACTGACAAGTATTAGATGACAATTTATGGAGTATGTTAGAAGTTGGGAAATTATGGGTGGTCAACAATATCATTATCTTGATATAACAAGAGACCAGTTGACTTATAGAATGGGTATTGCATTTCAGTGTTTGGCAAAAATTGGATATTATCATTAGCAAGTATTGAATGATGATCAATGAGTAATATCAAAATAAAGTGATAATTGGCAGGCAACTTAGTAATTCTTTTGATAAGAAGGGGATTGGGTGACTAATAGGATGGTGTTAGATTTTGGTGGTTAGCATGCTAATAGTCAATATACAACTATAACCAGATCATAATCAAAGAAAGCTAGCTAATTTCATCCAAAAAAAATTATAAACAACAAAATTTAAAATTATATTACTACAATTAATATTTAAATTCCACTATAAGATCCAAAGTCACAAAATAATATGTACAATTTGTTGACATATTATTTCACTATAAGGTCCAAAGTCCCACTATAGTATCTAAAATCATATACATCAAAATATGTCATTATATTTATTCTGTCAAAATCATATAAAATAGTTAGGAGATCAGTTACATGCAATCCATAATATATCCCAAGATCTTTACCATAAAAGAATAAAAAAAAGATCGCACAAAAAAAAAAAATAGAGAATCTCTATCAAACTCACTCTTATTGGTCCCGACCCATTTGTTGACCTGAAATCAATAAAATCTACATAATGAGCTAAAAGCCTAATAATAACTCAAATTCACTAAAACTTCAAATGAAAGGCTTAAAGAATCAATATATATATATATATATATATGCTCGATTCATTCAATATAGTCAATAGCATTCAATATTATCAATAATCAGTTATCATTCGCAAGGCTTAAAATGATCAATAATAACATAGTTGATATGGCAATTAATAAATTCATAAAGCAATCATACTAAAATCATTTATAAATAAATAAAGGAATCATAACCTATAGGTGTCAATTTTATTACATAAAAATTATATTAAAAAAAAATAACCTATAGGTGTCAACATTATTAGTCTTATATATTTTATCTATTAAAAATCATGCATCATATGATGTCAATACATGTACTTGTATCCATCATGATCTATCTATCAATGCTATCTATGCACTTTTAATTCTATCTATTAATATTATCAATGCATACATATTTTTATATATGAGTTAGCAATAGAAGACAATCAAGTTTAAAGTTTAATATGGTGTTTTTATCATTTTTAACCCCAACTTCTTCCCAGTTGGTCATCAAACATATCTATCATAATTATCATTTATCAGTAAACCAATTATCATTACAAGCGGCTTTCATTAAAGCACTAAATAATTGTCACTCTCTGCCCATCGTATTAATTATCAGTCAATAGTTATAAGCTATAATCTGGATAATACCACAAACTATCTTTAAAGTAAAGCTCGTTGGCCCACCCTCCTACACATGGTACTAATATTTTAAGTGCTAGTGTGTATTAATTATAATGTTAATAGCCAACCTCCTTTTTTTTATGAAATACATTTTAATGTATAAAATACAATAAAATCTATATATCAGTCTATAGCTTCAGAAAATCATAACCTTCATTTCACCATGTAGAAATCGATAATATTACAATCAAAATGTCTATATTAATACAATTATTTAATTTATTCAATTTTCAATAGATAATTCATTTAAATTTATTTGGGACTTCAAAAATTATAGAAAGTATTCATTAAATAAATAAATTTATTTAAAAAATATTTGTGAAGTCAATTTGTAAAATGAATACCAGATGGTCTCAAAATTCACACTTGTATCAACATATGTCAATTTCTTAAGGATTTTTAGAAACTCCCAAAACTTATTAAAAAAATCATGTAAGTAAAATACTACAATATCAATGTTATGGCAAAGTCGATTTATAATTTGGAGTTATAATAATTCCAGAAAAAAAATATTTAACATAGTCAAAATACGGGATATATATTACACTTCTTCACAATTTTAATGCCAACAAAAATACATAGTTAGAGGGGACAATGATTAGAAGATTAGTAATGTGTGTGTTAATGTCAGCAGAGATCGGTGTAGCCAAGGGACAATGATTAAAATATTATATGATAGAGGATCGCGATTAGGTGATGGTGGTCAGAAGATCATAGTTACTCGATGATGATCAGAGGAACGTTGTCAGGCAACATAAATTAAAGGATAGTAGTCGAATGATGGTGATCGGAGGTCATAGGATCATAGTTTGGCGACAAAAGTTGAAGCATTATAATCGAGCGATGTTGGTCCAAATTGTAGTTGGGAGAATGTGGTTTAAGGATCATTTTCAGGTGCCAAAGGTTAGAGGACTATAGTCGGCTGATAGTGGTTTAATGAAGTTTGTGAGGTGGTGGTCTAATGTCATTTGTTGGGTATTGGTATGATGGCAGCAATTGGGCGGTGTTTTGGTAGTGCCGTTTGGGCATTGGTTTGATAGCGATCAATGGTTAGGTAATGTTCTGACGATGAAAATTAGGTTATGGTTAGATGTTAGTCTAACAATGGTGGTTAGAATGTGCTTCGACAACGATGATCAGGCGGTAGTCAGATAAAGGTCGAGCAATGGTCTAACAATAGTGCCCAGGTGGTTTATATTTTTAAATAATGCAAAATGCAAGTTTCAAGGTGGAGCTCAAGGATTTTTAGAGCCTTTGAGCTCTGTTGTATCTCAAGCCATGGTGCTAGCTCTAGGCCCTCATTCATGTAGAGAATGAGAACCTATTTATAGATTTTTGATAGTGTTAAACCTCCAAATATTAAAAAAAAAAAAATATTACACTCCATCAGATTGCATGTATTTATTTCCTTGGTATAAAGAATTTGTTCAATATCAAAGTTAGGGTTGCAAATGAACCGAGCCGAGCCGAGTATGTGAGTGTTCATGTTCGAGTTCGTTTATTATTAACTTGTTCAAGCTTAGTTCGTGTTTGATTGAGCTTTATTGTTTGTATTCATATTTGGTTCATTTAAATTAATGGTGTTCATGTTTAGATCGTTTAGTGTTTATCGAGCTTTAACAAGCTCTGTTCGTGAACATATTTAACAAATTTCTTTAAACGATCAAATAAACATGTACATGAATAAATCTAAAAAGTATTCTTGAGCTATCAAATGAGTAAGATCTAATGATATAATATAATAAATTATCAATTGTAAGAAAATTAAAATTACATCTTATATAATAATATTTAATTACTTTAAAATTTATTAATTAAAAAAATTATATCATTATGTTATAATAAATTAAAATATTTATTTATGAGTTATGAATCAAATACGAATCGAGCTTAATGTCGAGCATGTTCATGAGCTTCAAATGATATTGTTCGTGAACATAAATGAATCGAACACTTTAGTGTTCAAGCTTGTTTATTTAAGGATCAAGTATTAAAAATGTTGTTCAAGTTTGTTTGTATAGTTAGTTAAACAATCCCAAACGAGCTTTAATCGAACCGAGCAACGAGTAGCTCGTCGAACGTTTGGTTCGCTTGCAGCCCTAATCAAAGTGCCTTAATATTTTCAAAATTAAGTAATTTTAAGCTTGTTTGATTTGTCTTGTTGAGACGCTCGATTTGATTATAAGCATGCAATATTTGTATGTTGTTTCATCATTTAATTAATATTTTGAAGTTTTTCAATCACTCTTCATATACTTGATTTGGGCTTATGCAAGCTCGAATTTGGTTAGTTTTCATATCGTTGGTTTCATCTCGTTAGACTTTCAATTCAACTATAACTTTGCTGAAACCAAAATTCGAGTATTCAAAATTTACAATTCAAATATGCATTAAGATTTGTATATGATACAGGCAAATTTTTATGATGTTTAAACCCCTAACAAATTTACAACAAAAAAAACACATTTCATAATAATTATCCCATATATTATACTCAATATTCTATCAAAATGATTAAAACTTTATTCAATTCTCACAAAAATATCAAGTAAATACTTTCCAATTTTCTTATAAAGATTATATATATAATCTCAAGTTTGATGATCCGCCTAAAACTGATTAGTCAAAGGACTCCTACAAAGACTTAAGATCAATAAAAGAATAGGTCCTCAGGTTGAAGCCTTCGATAGAATTCTTACATATATATATATATATTTGAAACCAATCAGCATGCGAGAGCGAGCCGACGACGATGTATATATTTAATTTGTTAGCTGCCACCGCCTGGTACGCTCTGTAGTTATAAGAGCCGTTATTACGTCCTCTGACCGGATGCAGAAGAACATCCTATTAGTAAAAAAAAAACTCAATACCAAGTCGAGTTTTTTTTGACTACGATGAAATGTTTCAAATAAAAATTCGTAGTTATAAAATGCTACGTCGGCGGCAATGCCGACATCGATGCGATTAATGTACGCTCTGTAGTTATAAAATGCTACGTCGGCGGCAATGCCGACATCGATGCGATTAATATAAGAACAAACTGTCGCTTAACTTGGCCCCGCGAGCACGAAACCTGCTAATTTTTTCAATGGTACAAGACACCCCAGCCGGCTCCGAGCTCTCTCCAGAAAAAAACAATAACTTGAACAACGAAACAGAAGATTTCTTCTTTTACTCTCCCGCGCCTTCGCTTGGGAAGCTGTCCATCGCCATCTAGAAGTTAAGATAGAAGAATCTCCCCTCATCGCGCCCATTCACAAAGGGAGCGAGAGAAGGAAACTGCTCCTCAATTCGTTACCGTGTTTCAAGGTACGTTCCTCTCTCTTTTTTTTAAAAAAAAATTTAAAGAATAAATTTTCTTCACTGAACCCTAATTTATTAACCTGATCCGATCAACGCACAAATCCTTGATCAGTAGAAACTGGATCAAATCGTATTGCACTAAACAACGGCAAATATGGTTTCCGCTCCGTTCATGGATGGGCGAAGAGGCGGGAACTGGAGGACCAAGTTCTTGATACATTTCTTCATAACTTTGTGCTTTGTTGTCTGTTTGGTTTTAATTCGAAAAGTGCATTTTGGATTAATCAAATTCAATTTCAAAAAAGCATAACTATGTGTGTATATGGGTATGACTATCTGAGTCTTTCTTTAGCAAAATAAAAAAAGGTACTCACTATTAGTATGCTTCCATACAAAATTACAATTTAAAGCTGACTTTAAAAAAAAAATCGGCAAATTTATTGTCTTCCCTATGGATATAGTGAAATATCACCTAATGGAACTGAGTGAGAAATGCAAGGTCAAGATCCATTGGTGGTCAGTTGTTCATGGTCTCTTGAAGTAAGCTTATGATAATTGTGTTATCGCCCTCAAAGATCACCCCATTAACTTCCAGCACTACAGGAAATTAATTCAGGCATTTCCGGCAGAATTGTCCGCCGGAAAAGCTTTAATATTTTCAGATAGAAATTCTGCCGGTTATGTGGTAAAAAATTCCTTCGATTCATAATCCACCAGAAATTCTTATTTTTTCTATAGTGCAACATCCACGACCCAATAATTTGGTTGATAGATAGTATTGCCTCTATCTCAACTTGTGAACTATCTCAATAGTGCAATTGGATACCAACAGTTTGAAGAAATTCCCCTTTATCATTACGAATTACATCACCAATGTCAGCTTGATATGAAGATAATAATGTGCCGTCAACATTGATTTTAGTTCAACCAGGAGGGGGAGGGCACCAATGATAAGAGCTAGACAACGGATTGGGTTGAATAGTGCCTCATTGCTCAAAGATAGGGTAAATGTGCGGTTGAGCTAGAGAACCATGCATGACGATGACAAGAATTGTAGGAGTACTATAAGGATGGCCATGATTTTTAGAGTTTCAGGCACACCAAAGTGATAGACGACGTTACAATAGAGTCGAGCTTAGGATATATTGCATGAAGCAATTTGCGTAAGTTGTTGTTGGAGCTTGCTAAAGTTATCAAACGATGGCAGAGTGGATCCTTAGGAGGTTAGAATTTCCAATATTCCAATCCGTATTTGGCACTTGTTTGTAATATGAGTAATATCCTCCATGCAATCACATCCACTACAGGAAAATGGCTCATTACCGGCGGACAGAATCCGCCGCTAATGAGGAAAATTCGACAGAAAAACAAGATTTCCGTTGAATTTCCGGCGAATTTTTTAACAACAGTAATTCGCGCATCGGTAAACCGGTACCAGTGGAGTATTTTTTTCAGAATTGTTTCCGCCGGATTTTCCGGCCAAAAAAAAAAGCGTGCGCCATTTTTTTTTGGGTGGATTGAGGCATTATATCCGCCAATATTTCCGACATAATTTTGCGCCATTATTTTCGGCGAAGCAGCAGTTGCCATGTGCACCGGACAAATGTCGACGAATTCATCCGGCACATAATACGCTGACAATTCTGACGCAAAAATACCCCAAAAATCTCTGTTTTGTCATATCGTCGTTTCCGACGTATTATCAGTCAGAAACCTATAGCAAAATTAAGATATTAGATATTGTTGGAAAATATGTTGAGGGGAAATAGATAGATTTCAATTTTATTTATAAATCGAATGACATTATTTCACATAGGGGAAATACAAAAAGTCAATGAAAAATATAACAACTTCTCGGCGTCTCCCCCGTTTAGGGGAAATACAAAGAGTCTTAGCTTGTCTGTCACGTTAAGAAAGACGTGTACGGTTGGTGTCAGGTGACACCAAGGCCGTGGCCTTCAATCCTACCACTCCAAGAAAGGCGTGTATATATAGGTCTTCAGGGAGGATACTTGTGTCAAAATGCAGTTTGTGCTGGAGATATTTCTAGCGGATTTATCGATTTTCTTGGCATGTGAAAATATAATTTACGTGACCAGACCATCTAAGGCTACCCTCTCACTCTCTCTAATCATATATTTGATAAGAGCTTCTCCAACATTTTCACATGTCTCACCGCATCTTATAGGGTTTTCTCCTGAGTATGAGGGGAATTTTATATCTCACATTGCAAGTCTAACCACATCTTGCAAACATCAACTCCCTCTCAAGTCTCACCACATCTTGTACACAACAACTCCCTCTCAACTCTCACCACATTCATCAATTTTAACCATCCAATTTGAATTCTACTGAAAATATACACCTCAACTCCCTTTCTAGACTCATCAACAAGAAGAATATCATCAACATAAGGCATGCACCATGATACAATCTATTGCTAATGTCTATCAAGAAAATCCATGAAAAAAATAAAATCTTACAGTGGATTTTCGACAAAAGAGCGGCGAACGTCGGCAAACTCAATGGAAGTCCGTTGGGCAATGGATTAGTCTCAGCAGCGGCGGCGTTCGGCTGAGATGACTGATGCGAGCGGAGCGAACCGAAACGTGGAAGGGAGAAAATGATAAGGAAGAGTAGGTAAGGAGGGAAATAGGGCCTTCGCCATTGGATTTACTGACGGATAATATGCCGGAAGTTTTAGCATCGCAATATTCACCTGAAAAATTTTGTCGAGTTTAAGTTGCTCAACGAAATATCTATCGGATCGTCCGCCTGAACTTATCGGCGTATAATACTCCGGGATAAACTGTTGGTCTTATAAATTACGGTGGAAATGACGATGGATAATACGCCGGTAACTAACCGGCAAAGTTTACACCGGACTCGTCGGCGTTATATTACCGTCAAAATATTTGCCGGTTCAACTGCCGTTTTTTCCGATGTATTTACTTATGTCGGAAGATCCGACAGTAATCGAAGGTTTTCTTGTAGTGATCCTCAAGGATATGTATTCGGAGAATCTACCTTTGCTTAATTTCAAGAGTAGAGTTTTTAGCATCATGGAGACAGAGGATGTGCACCATTTGACCACACAACTTTGGGCAAGGGATTGTTTTACATGTAAAGTTGTGATTTAATTACTGAACTGTAGCTGGTACATGATTGTGGAGAATTAGTACCTTAAGTGCCTCCTAAGTTAATCAGCCTGGTGGTATTGTTGACTTGGTTCGAAGACTTATAAAATTGGAAGCAAATAATGGCTTTGTAAAGATGAATGTTGTCTAGTCTTGTGAGGCAATATGATAGACATCAATAATGTAGGATTTGATGCGGACCCATATGCAGTGATGATTGACCTTTATGTGTTTTGTTCATATATGGCAATTTGGGTTGTTGGCGAAAGCTATAACTGAGATGTTATCAAAATATAATAGTGTTGCCATGGGGAGGAGAATATCGCCATGAGAAGGTGGCAAAGCCATATGTGGCCCATTGCTACCATAGAAAGTACATGATATATACTCTGCCTCTATTATAGAATGTGTCACAATTGATTGCTTCTCCATGCACCAAGAGATGAGTTTGGCCTAGAAATGTGTACTATTGTGTGGTAGATTCTTTATCTTGTGGAGCATCACCCCAGTCAGAATTAACATATGCTTCTAGTTGGGAGTAACCCGATGTACATATGGTCAAAGTGAAATGTGTTGATAAAGTTGTGAAGCATTCTCTTAAAGAGTTGAAAAAGAAGGTTGAGAGGATTTTGCATGTTTTGACAAACCCAATTAATTGCAAATGAGATATCAGGTTGAGTAATAGTTAAGTATTATATGGAATAAAACAAGTGGCGATACAATATTGGATAAGCAATTGAAACATCATATTGGTTGTAGTTAGATCATTAATAGAGATTGGAGTTGGAATGACTTTGCAATTTTCCATACCAACACATTGTATATCATGGACATGCCTTAACTATGATAGATGCACCCCATGGGAAGTTTGCTAGGCTTGAAGGCCTAGGAATTAGGAAAGCTAGCCCAAGTTTATCATATTGAAGTGACTATGAATGTTTTTAAGGAGGTCAAATGTGATAGTGGGAGTGTTGGTGATTAATAGAATATCTATGTAGATCAAAATGTAGATGATGTTACGTACTGTTGGGTTTGTAGATCAACAAGGAGGGTTCAATTGTATTAAATTTGAAGTGAGTGATTAGAGATGGGTAGAAAAAGTTTAGAACCACTGTCGAAGGGCTTGCTTAAGTTCATAAATGGCTTTCTTTAGTAGTCATGTGTGATATAGATGCATGGGATTATGAAACCCGAAAGGTTGAGCCATATACACCCTTTCTTAAGGATGATTATGAAGAAGGCATTAGATGCATCTAATTGGAGGATGGGCCATGAGCGCATAAGAGCAATGGTGAGTAGAACCCGAAAAGTTAACATCTTGTCTATTGAACTGAAAGTCTCATTGCAGCTAGGTCAGATGTCTACTTATAACCTTGGGCCATAAGGCCGGCTTTGTAGTGAGCTACAATACCATTGAAGTTATACTTGGTTTTAAAAGTCCACTTACTGTTGAGCAAAATTGGTTGGGAGAGGGGGGAACAACAATCCATGTTCCTTAAGATTGGAATGCCCTAAATTTGAGCAATGTTTCCTTTCATTGGATGGCATTGTTGGCATTAATGATATAGATTAATGGGTCATTGATTTTAATGATGTGGAGAAGGTTGAGAATTCTTTTGTTTTAAGGTATATTGTCGTAGCTCCAGTTTGCATGGGTTGGCAGATGGGGATGGTAGAAAAGGAATTTTGAGGGATGCTAATTGCTGGACATGTGAGAGTGGGGGTGGTCGTACTATCAAAAATGGTGTTATTAGTTACGACAATACTAAGTTGAAGTGAAGGAAGAACATGAATGTGTCTAGAGAGAAGTGTTGGAGAGGTGATGGAATGTGATGAGTTGATTGGGGTGGGTGGGTGCTAATTGGGGCA